TATTTATTTTGTTTTATATTAAATTTATTATTTTTTTAAAGAATAGTAAAGAGATTATTTATAAAGAGCAAAATAATAGAATTTGGTAGAAAACTATACAAAATACTTTGCTTATAGGGTCAAAAGTTTTATCAATTATTTTATATTCAGATGCTACAAATTGTAACACATTGGGTAAAAGTTAGCTTCATCCAATATATATATCACTAGGAAATATCTCTATATGGCGAAGAAATAAGCAAGATGCAAAGCAATTACTGTCTAGCACTATATAAAGTATCTCTATCGAATAGTACCCCTATGATTAAGACCCAAGTATTATTCACTATCTGCAAAGACCCAGTTATAGTTAGTACTCAGGTACTATTCAAAGTTGAACTTTGTGAAATTGATTAATATCCGAGTACTAAAGAAGATCTCAATAGAAATAAAATTACTGGTAATAGGTTTATTTTTTTGACTGATTATTTTTTTTAGCTGTCTTGGGGTTAGTAGTAAAGTATAACAAATAGTTATCATATAAGTTTGACTATTAGATTAATATAATCTTTAATGGCTATTCTATATTTGATTTCTTTACAATTGGAAATTGTAGATAAGGTTTGAATAAGGTTGTGGAATTCATTATATTAATTTAATATTTGTAATATTAAAGAATCAGAACTACACAAGCAGATTTAATTAATGTCGCAGATTAAAATGAAATTTGATCAAAATGAAACTGGGGACCTCTCATACCCATCCTTAGAGTCTATAAAATCCATATATACTCATTTATTAATAAACCTAATCCTAAACCCTACCCCTAATGCTAAAAAAAACCCCAAAAAATGTCTTCCAAAAAATTTTAAATTTTCCTTAAAAAACAGAAAAATTTCGTTTTGATCAGATTTCGTTTTAATTTGTGACAATTAATGATATATCATTCGTTTTATATATACAAAATAAAAATATATAGTATATATAATTGTTATGCGTATAACCAAAGTACAAACAAAACATAAATTTCTTTAAATTTTATAAAAAAGAAAAAGCAGCCTAATATGAAAATTAAAGCTCAAATATTTGTTATTGTAATGAAATCTAGTTTTGAAACATCCATTTAGCTTTATTCAATTTAAACCCTATTTATTTTATTTTTTTTGAAGAAGATTTTTCACACAATTATATCAAATAATAGACATCAGCTGCCAGAGAATATTGCCTGTTTTATGCATGATTTCAATAAATTTTTTCAGCCCTTCTAGTAATAAAACAATCATATTAATAAAAAGTAATGAGTTGTTACGTAAATATTATTTGAGCGTAAAATAAACTAATGATAACATACCCTTAAATTTAAATAAATAACCGAATAAAAATCAGGTAAGATAAAGAAATAAATAATTAATTTTAATAATTATTTCTTGCTAATAATAACTAATAATATATTAATTATTGTTACTTACAATTTAATAAAACTTAGCTCCAAATATTAATATAATTTGTCTCTTCATTTTCATGATATTTGTCATCTGAATCATTTTTACCTTCCGGGACTGGTTCTTCATTTTCATGATATTCGTCATCTGAATTATTTTCATCTTCCGGGACTGGTTCGTTACTTTCTTCTGCATCTTCCGAAATTAGTTCATTACTTTCTTCTGCATCTTCTGGAACTGGATCGTTAATTTCTTCTTCCTCTTTAATATCAATTCTTACACCTTTTATACCTGGAACTCTCTCAAAATCAAAGATCAAATTGTCTTCAGAGCCATTCATCTCTGTAGAAACATCACAACACTTAAAAGACCGTTGTATCATTGCAGTATCAATTTCATCCCACGCTTTTTTGATCCAGGTTGTTACTAATGAGTATGATGATCATTTAATTTTCCGGTTGGTGTATATTCTTTTACTGTCTCATCTATCCATTGATTATATGCATGATGAACCTATATTAAAACAATAAAGTTACTAAATTTTCTTATATAAGGTCATATAAAACTAATTTTTAGTTCTCATAATATAAAATTTTAAAAATGACTCGGCAACCCAACAACCTGGCTTTTAATTTTAATAATTTCTCCCGGATAGTAGATATATTAAAAAATTTTTTTTAAAATTTTGTTGAATTTGACCTGGCTGAGTTATAAGGACCAATTAATTAAGTTTTATAGCCTAATATTAACATGCAAACTAAACTAACTTTTGCTTTAAATAATTTGTTCAAAGATACATCCAATGGTTGCAAGCACGAGGTTAGCTCAGACAGAATTACAGCCATATCCGTATTTCTCTTACGAAAGTGACATTTCACAGAATCTGTTATATGACCAGCAAATAAATCAAGAACAAGAAGCAAGCGTGGATTTGATTCTAAACTAACTTGTCAGTGCTACATATTCTCTACTCACCAAATCATTTCATTTTCATCTATCCAGCCACTTGAATTTGCATGAACATATACACCATCTGGAAATTGCTCTCATGGTACATTAACTAACTTAAAAATAATTAAAGGTGAAAGCTTAGTACCATCTGCAAGACAGGCAAGAGTTACAGTAAAATTAGTACGTTCATGACCTATTGTAAGAATTGAGACTGTTTGCTTTCCACATTCTTTAACAGTTGTGTGACTTGGTAAATTAAATGACATGAGGGTTTTGTCCATATTGCCAATTAAATTTAAGGGGTAGTTATGTTGAGTTCGATGATAAAAAACATATGCTAAAAAATTTTGTTGCAATTCTTGATATTCTTCAGGCAATCTTTGGGCAGTTGTAGTGCATCGACGGTTTACTAATCTCTTACAAGACATAAATCCATCTACCCATTTTTGTGAAAATCGACATTCAAAAATATTAGGATACAAAGTATGATACTCTTGTTTGCTAGCCAAACTACGTGCTTTTGCACTAATCATATATTTCGTTACAGTTTTTAGTTGTCTTCATAGTTCACGAAACCACTCTAAAAGTTCTTCTTCTAATTGTGGATACTTGGGCCTTGCACTAGCATTAAGTCGTCGAATATATGGTGCTGCACTCATTAATTCAAATTTTTTTTTTCCAGTCACGAACTTGCTTAGGTTCAATTTCAAATTTTTCTGCTATTGCCCGAATACTATGCCCACTTTCTTGATAAAATATAACCATTAACTTTTTGCAAACATTTCATTGTTGACGTTTTTTTTGTATAATAATTGCTCGTTGCACATTAAAATTTTCTCTTGACATTTTAAAGATACTAAATTTTTTTTAGCTAAAATTTTTTGCGACTTTTTAAAATATACGCGAGACAAATCCAGGGGTAAAGAATCTGCCTTAATATCGCACAAATTATTCAAGGGGCATCCCAGGTTTTCATATTATAAAAGCGATTGATTATTCTTATCTATACTATATGCTTTTATTCTAGCCATTTAAGACCATCTGAATCTACATATTATTATTATTCAATATAGCAAATAGATATCTTATGAAAAATTCTGCTATAATTCGTTGTTAATTTTTTAAACATTATTTAAAAAAAGAAGTCAATATCTTTAAAAGGATGATTCGAAATAATAAATAAATATTAGTTGCTTTCATAAACTTAACTAAAAAGATTTTTAAAATAGTACAAGACATAATTTCATAAATGCTATCTTCAAAAATATTTTATTATACTGCTTAGATAATCTTGGACCCAAAATTCGATTTCTAGTAAATTGTTTAAGTCTGCAAGCATTTGTTCGTAATTTCATTATATGGTAAATTTCTTGACTTCTAGTGATTTAATAGTTCAAAAAAAATAGAAGTTAATTATTATTGC